GGGGGGGAGTTTACAGTACTGGCAGAAATATAAGCACCCATTATAACCCTTGATTGTGCCTGTAGATTTGCCCCTGTGCTTCATAAGATGCCGATCCACCCGGAGCATCTACTGCTTTAAAGTTTTGTACTGCAGCATGTACATACAACAGGCTTCGAACATTGGAACAGTGACTTGCGTCAAGCCACGGCTCTCGAGCTGTGACCCGCAGAGCCCCAGCTGTGGTGGCAGATGCTCCTTTCTCATCCGAGACCAACCCCAGTCCTGCAGGCCGTGACCGCAGGGCCCAGGCTGACCTGCTGGACACGGTTGCCGCTGGACCCCTGTCTTCTCCCCAGAGGAGGGCTTTGCTCTGATGTTGCGTGCACCTGACGGGGGTCATGGGATACGTCGCCCGTGCAACCGGGTGAGCGTGCAAGATCACCATGGCTGCGAGCTGGGAAATGGGAGCGCTATCTGCAGTGGACCTCAGGCTGACTTTTCCTCAAATGTACACTTCAGGAGCACGTCCAGGGGTGCTTGCTAGTAGTGCAGCGCCCAGACCATTGTTGACCAACAGAATATATTAGCGACTGGAGAGCAGCGAGAAGAACGAAGGGTTTTCCCTTGATAATTTCTCCTGGGTGCAGCTCAGCGTGGAGAAATATTCAGTGCCAGGCAGCCAGACCCCAGGCCACACTTCCCAGCTGTACGGTAGCTTCTCCTGACTCGTATGACAAGGGGCGGCCATGCCTGTCTCCCAGGAGAGGCACAAATCAGTGGGTGTTGTAGGTTATCCTTCATAATGCATGTTTCTCAAGACATGGGACAAAAGCACTTCAGTTAGTTTAGCAGGTCATGGAATAATTTAAGTAATGAAATGATCATTTCACAGTCCAGCAGGGTGCTCTTAAACCTATGGCTATAAAGAACCTAGACCTGCGTTGTCATCAGTCCAGTGTTCCCAGGCCGAGTTCGAAGAGCAGCTGTTGACTGGTGCCAGAAGGTTTCTTAAGAAACTGATACCCCTGTAAAACCTGTTGGGCCGTCACCCCCACTGGAGCAGGGAAGGGTGTCCCAGGTCAACCATGCTGTGAGAGAGAGAATATTTTTTTATTGGCCTTATTGGCATGAATTTTTCTCCCTTCTCTATTGGTTTGTTCAAACCGCTCTGAGGCAGTTTTAGTGGTCAAAGTTATTTACTGACGCATTGTGTATTGTGGAAAAACATTTTTAGTATTTTTACTTAGTTTTTAAACTTAATGAAGTTCTTTTGTTTCAGATCACATTGCTTTTATATTTCTTTTATTTCTAAGAAAGGCAAAATTTCTTTTGCCCTCAGAATAACCTTAACCTTTTACAGTGGGACGTTTTGCCCATTAAAGCAGCGGCTGGATGGGTAGTCGCCGATGTAATGTTGGCCGTTGCCACAGAGAGGCGAGTGTCCTGCTAGCTGGTCATTTTGCAGACCAAGATATTTCCAGCAGCCCCTAAACCAAATGTTTGAAAGTAGAAAGTAAATAGACGGCGCAACATAAATCAAAAGCAGAAGATGGCTGATGCATTGGAGTTAATAGAGCAATGCAGTACAACCAAACAGGGTTCCCTGCTGCTTCTAAAACATGTCTTGTGAAAATAGTACAGTAGTTTGCTCCATTTCTTAATTGCATTGCTAATGTGTAGGTAGTGGACACAAAGGTCCACTCTTGTAGTCATGTTGGTCATAACTGTGGGCACCCAGGTCTGTCCAGAATTTTTAGACACAACCCTAAGTATGCTGGAATGATATTTGCTTAATTCATGCATGAGCCACACCTGTACAAACTGAACATGGAGCGGTATTTTGCACAGACCCTCACTTTCAGCAGTGAGACATCTGTAAACATGTTGTAAGAAATTTGTGCTTGCACAACCCAAGCCTGTTACTAACCTGTTCCTGGGCCCTTTGCTTGTCACCACTGGCCTGAGTGACTCTCTGAATGACCTAGGAGGTAAGTTGTGGTTTGGGTGTGCATAGCATGTCTCTATCCTCTGCCTTTTAACACAGGTCCATTTGGTAGTGTCCAGCTCTGGGTGTTTCTTTAGATCTCTACAAACAAGTATTCAAGTTAAATGACCGCTAATTAAGTATTTATCAACTCTGCACAATTCAGATTTTACATTTTAGTATAGTTATCCACCTTCTCAAGCTTGTTTTCAGGTGACTTATTAATATGAGCGTGTGTGAGCTGGGGGCAATCCACAGTTGCTCACAGAAGGACATGGATGATGTCACTGCTGTTAATTGGTCATTACAGGTGGTTGGATGTGCCAGTTTTCCAGAATATAAATTGCAAATTGGAACAGCCAAGGGTGTTCCTGTGCCCTGGGTGACTGGGGGCAAAACGTTAATTAGATCGGATAAAAGATTTGATTTTGATTGAAACTAGAAGGGATCATTTTGAGACCAGAGCTTTGTGTGATGAAACTGTCCCACTGTTGTACAGTCAATAGGTTCTTTTCTTTCCTTTAGGAGTCGATCAAACTGATTGATCCCCTTCTCTCTCTCTCTCTAAAGGGTTAAAGATCTTGTTCTTAGTTCAAGTCAACAATGACTCAGTGTATTAATCTGAACAGATTGCTCCCAGCCTCCCTGTGTTTCACCTGTTAGTACAAGATGCAGCACCAAAGTCTGAGTGTGAGTCTTGTCTTGGTGATGTCAGGGAGTACTCTGAGAGCTGCTGTCTTCTAAGGGACAAGTCGCTGTTATTT